GATCATCTAAAACACCAAATAGACAAGAACAAAAAAAGAAAATCCCCCACAGCATATTATAATTAAAACACTTAGTATATATAAAAATTAAAGTAATGTTTCCCCACTGATATAGTAAGCCAGATCCACCCAAACTGCAAAAGTATAACAACAGGTATATTGAACAAAGCCAACGCCCACTCTGGGACAGGTTCTCAGGTCCCAGAGTTGCAGACCAGAGAAGTCAAGCGCCCAAGCAAAAACAGGGAAATTTTATAGGCTGTAGGTGAGGGGTGATAATTTATTTGCCACAAGCTGGGTTTTTGCCCAAGTATGACCAAAAGATACTTGTGTAGGCAAGAATTTAGCTGGCTAGCTGCATCAGGGGAAGAAGCTGCAATAGTCACCAAGATACAGAACTGGGCTGTTTGGTCCCTCTCCTTTGTTCTGAGTCTTTTTGAGTGGGTGGGATCTGGAGAGAGAGAGAGACAAAATGGGGTTTCTTGTATTGTGCATTGGTGAGCCAGAGGCTCCAATCAAACAGAAAGTATATTAAAAACTGCAAGCATAAAAAACAAGTCATACATAGATGAAAACCTACCAGAATGACAGCTGACTTCTCAATGGAATCCTTGAAAAGTCAGAAGAGCCTGGGGGAAGGAATTACAAGTCCTAAAGGACTGTGACAGCCAAACTAGACTGATATATCCAGCAAAACTGTTTGCCATATTGAAGGAGAAAGACAAACTCTCTATGACATAAACAGCCTCAAATGATTTCTGGTGTGGCCAGCATGGCAACCATTGCTGCTTGACAAAGTTCTAGCATTTTGACATCACAATTCTACAAAACTTTTTTCCTTTCATTTTTAGTGATTCTCACTATCATGAGTTTTCTTTTGGGAAATTTTGTGCAGGCTTTGAAGGATGAAAATGTATACAATGTAACCTCTCTAAACAAATTAATTATTTGGAAAAGAATCCCAACCACCATGGAAGGATGTAGTGTGGTAACTCTGCTTACTCCCATACAGGTTCACACCAAGCCACTAGAAAATTTAGATTAGTAATATATGTTTGATAAAAAAGGTATATTTGATAATCAAGACTTACAAATTCCAAAGGTCTACTCAGGTTCACAGTAACATTTCTCTAGCCTCCACTTTGCTCACTTTAAGCTTTAGCTAGTTTAAACTAAGTCATTGAAGAGACTGCACTACTCTATAATGGGGTGTCTGGTCCCCCAAGATAGTCTTTTTCCCAGGATCAGGCATTTACACAAAACTTCCAATTCCCTCAGGGGCTTGAAAGAAGTTCCTGCTTGCTAAAAAAGAGAGACATCCTTATCTTTGGCAAGAGAAACTTGTGACCATCCCTTTAACATATGAGTGTGGTGCCTATTAGTTTATCAAAATCAATGCTAGCTTCCTTAATTCCTCATCTCCAGTCACACTGCTCACATGCCTCCTTTCTCCCATTTAATCAATGTGTAACAACAGAGTATAACAGGTGTATTTTTTTCAATAAAAATATGGGCAGCTATCCTGATTCACCCTCATATCCTGTCGGTCTCCTCCTCCCCTGCTGCTGACTCCACACATCCTCTTTCGGACCTGAACCCCTATTGAATCAGGTCTCTGGAAAATTTCTACCCAAGGAACCAAAATTAAACTAAATGCAGGAAGTAGTACTTTGGACTGAAGAGAGTAATGAACATAGCATAACAGAGAGACTGTAGAAAGAAACACCAAACCATATTATTAAAATACAAAACGTCACTGAAAAAACAAACAACAGCACCACCTGACTGCAATTAAATAACTTTAAATATCAATGGTTTCAGTTCTCCAATCTAAAGACATAGGCTGACTGAATGGATCAAAAATAAAATCCATCTGTCTGTTGGCTACAATAAACACATCTTTGCTTTGAAGATAGCACAGCCTTAGAGCAAAAGGATAAATAAAATACTCCAATCAAATGAAACCAAGAGTCATCAAGTATTCCTATCTTAATATCTGATAAAAAGGAATTTAAATTAAATGAATCAAAAGAGAGGCTACAGGACACTTCACTATAATCAATAGAACAGTTAACCAAAAAGACATTACCATTCTAGACACATATGCACCAAAATCTGTTGCAACCAGTTTCATAAAATGTGCACTATTTGTTAGTATATTTAGAGATACTGATTAAAATCAACCAACTAGCAGTAGCTAATTTCATACCTCACTTTCTCGAGTTCATTTAGACAAAAGTAAACGGCGATGCATCAGAATCTATTGATATCACACGCCAAATGAATTTAAAAGACATGCAAATAATATTCCATCCATATACTGCTCACCAGCAAACAGAAGCTTCTCTATATAATACCATATTAGGGATTCAAAACAAATCTTTACAAATTAAAAAAATTTAAATGAATCATTATATTCTAATCACAATGCAACAAAACTTAAAATTGACAGTAAATAAATTCTTAGTAAATAACAAACACATAGATATTAAGTAACTGATCACTAAAGTATTCCTTCTTTCAAGCAAGAAATCAAGAAATAATATTTTCTTTCAATAAAACAAAAATGGAAAACATACAACAAAGCTTCTGGGACACAATGAAAGCAGTCCTGTAAATTGCTTAATGACATATCTCAAAAAAATTAGAAAACCTGGAATAAAACAAATCCAAATACATTCTGGTAGAAAGTAATAAAAGTCAGAGCAGAAATTAATGAAACAGAAACAAAGAAACAATTAGAAAACCTGGAATAAAACAAATCCAAATTCTGGTAGTAAGTAATAAAAGTCAGAGCAGAAATTAATGAAACAGAAACAAAGAAACAATAAAAAGACTCAACAAATCTAACAACTGTTTCTTTGAGAAGATAAAAAAGGTTGATAGACTTGTCAGGAAACTAAAAGAAAGAAGGAAAGAGCAGACCCAGGTTAACAGAATAAGATAAGAACATGGAACCTTTCCAACAAACACCACAAGAAATAAAAATAATATAAGGGGAGTTTTAAAAAATGTACTACATTAATTTGGTCAAACTGAAAGAAATGGATGTTTCATTCTAGATTCAGCCAAGCCACAAATAACAAACCAAAGAAAAGTCACCAATCAAAATAATCAATAACAAATGAGGAAATTGAAATCATAATAAAAAGCCTTCTAACTAAAACTTGTCAGAACGAAAAAGGGTTCAAAGCAGAATTTCTACCAGACTTTCAATGATCATCTACTGCAATCCTTCTCAAGCAATTACAAAATAGACATAGAATGGATACTTCAAAATTCTTTCTGTGATTGCAATGTCACTGTTATACCCAAACCAGGTAAAACCACAATGAAACAGGAAAAAGTCAGGCCAGTATCTCTTGAGGAGCATAGTTATATTTTTTCAATAAAATACTTACAAAACAAGTGTTGAAATATATCAAAATGATTATCCAAAATAGTCATTTTGGATAAGTTTGCCTTTATCCATGAGACAAACATGGTTCAAGAAATGAAATTAATCACATAAACTGACATAAAGACAAAAATCTCATGATCATTCCAATAGATACAGAAAAGTCCTTTGACCAAATTAAACATGTCTTCACAATAAAAGTATTATTTACAGTGCTCTAGAACAGCCACGAGATATACAACAAAACCCACTTTAAGAGTTTTAGTAGTAAAGGGGAAGAGGGTGTGTATGCAGGCCTGTCTCGAAGAAACATGGTGAGAGAGGGAGTGAGGTAGGTGTGTCTGCTTTTCAAGGTTGCTCAGAGCAAGGACATGGGCGCTCCACACATGGGCTTAGATTACATAAGGCCCTGGGGTGACTAGACATTTTGCCTGAATGCTGATGGCTGAATGTGTAGCCTTGGGATCCTGGCAAACCTGGAAATGATAACAAAACATCCTAGAGAAAATAGGATGAGAGGGAGTGCACCTCAATATAACAAAATTTATATCAGAGAAACCCAGAGCCAGTGTTATCCTAAATGGAGATAACCAGCAAAAGCAACTTCATTGAAATCATTTGTGATACAAGACTGTTGACTATCCCACTACTCATAATGCATATTGTTACTCTGGTGTATGTTTTCAGGGTAGACCATTAGCTAATCAACTAGTGCTCTTTCCTGAGGAAGTCTATTTCTCCCACTCTCAGCATTCCTTAGTTGCCTATAATTCTTTCTTTAGAGTTGAGTCCTCCTCATGTTCTCTTTTCCATTGTACTCCCAATCCACTTTGTTGTTTTCCTTGTTCAGGTCATGATTAAGGAATCATGGTGGTGAGACTTTTGAGTGTAGCTATGGCATTTCTAGAAGACAAAATTTCATGGCAAATCCCTTGTTCCTCTGCCTTTCTTACCAAACAGCTTTTCATTTTTTTACTAGTTTCTTTAGAAAGATAATATTTTTAAATATATAGCCACTCAAATGTATACTTTTGTTCATGAAAATTTCATTCATAATATGTTATGAGTCTTTCTCTGTACTGGCAGCCAGCTCCCAAATCACAACAAGGAGACTTCTTATTAATTATGAAAACTTGGCCAATATTTCAGGCTTCTTTCTAAATAGCTATTGTAACTTGAATTTGCACATTTATATTAATCTATGTGATGTTGTATGGCTCATGGCTTTTATCTCTTCTGCATGTTTGGCTTCCTCCATCTCTCTGTCTTCCTCCATGTCTCTGACTCCATCCTTCTTCTTCCCAGTGTCCTCTGTGCCTAAAAGTGCTGCCAAGCTATGGCACTTTTATGAAGACTCTCAGCTCTGGTACCTCACTCTAAAGAATGTGGTTGACTTTGTTCGGATATCATTATTTCACCTAACCTAGAAATTCTTAAAAGGCTATAATGGAGCAAATGGGTTTAACTTCTCTCTTATCTACCTTTCCAATTTCCCAATATCTGGTGTTTGGAACATAGAAAAAAGAAATCATTTCTTCTGTAGCATATGAATGAAATAGCTGGTAGTGGTTGGGCATCAAGTTAAATAAATAAGCAACACACAGTAAGGCAGGTGTCATATATTTAAAAACACTTATTGAAAAGCATATTTTATGTTAGGAGTTTTCAGTCTATGTGTCCTCAGTTTAGTCAAAAGAGGAGTTTTTCAGTCATAGTTTAAGATGCAAAATAAAAGAAAGGATCCATTGTTGACCAGAGTAATGTGGGCCACTCAGCATCGTTTCTAATTAGATACCAAGCTCCCTGTGATTGTTTCTTCCTGGAGTATACATGAAGATATGGTTGTTCAGGGACATTGACCTGATGGAACAAGCAAGGACCAGAAGGTTAAGAACCATTAGCCATTCACCAGTGAACCTCAGCATTGATAGCCACACACAACAGAATAGAGAATAAAAGATAATGGAAATGTTGCCTCAAGTCTTTTTCTGTTTTTCAGTTGGGGAGCCCCATCAGTTTCACACACCTGCCTTTCTCCCCTTCTCACCACTTCCTCATATCACAAAGGTTACTTCTTTGAGGTAAAACTTAGATGGAACCATTTCAACTTCTCTTATTCTTTTCTTCACAGCTTGCTTTCAAAGCATAACACACATTCTTGGATCCTCTGTTATTCAAACTTGAGAAGCATGTTATTTTTGACCATCTTTTATCAGCAAATGACAGATACAAAAATTCAAGAACAAGTGTTTATAAATACAAACAACCCACTAACTAAGCCTCTCTAAGCTAAATCGCTATTTATTTCTTGCCTGAATTCATTAATTCTCCTTCTCAACACACTGTAGAGGTTCATACTAAAAGAAAAATCATGTTATAGGCAGGAAGAATTGTGATCAACTACACTTTATATATAGCACAGATAAAGGAAAACCAGCCCCAGAGGTTGCTATTCCTTCACTTCTACTTATCCTTTGATAGAAAATTTTAAATTTATCCAAAGGAATCTGAGGCATAAACACAAGAGACAATAGTCAGCAATAAAAAGTGTTTTCCAACTTTCAGAATAAGGTAACATTCTAAACATTTATTTTAATGTCTGGTTTGAGGCCCCCTCCCATATTTCAGAGGGCTTGAAGATGTTCAATGAGAATAGTAAAGTTTTACAATAAGCAATAAGAAATTTTCACGTTTATATGTGATTACCAGGAAAGTATTTCAAAAGCCCAGCAGAGAATGAAGAACCTTACAATGTGTGGAAATGCATGCAGGGATGCAGTGAAAGAGAAATTAATTTACAGGACATTGTTATTCTATCCAACACAGAAATTCAGTTGCTGGAATAACAAAGGGAGAGTATTTCAAAAGCCCAGCAGAGAATGATGAACCTTACAATGTGTGGAAATGCATGCGGGGATGCAGTGAAAGAGAAATTAATTTTCAGAACATTGTTATTCTATCCAACACAGAAATTCAGTTGCTGGAATAACAAAGGAAATCATGGAGGTGATAATGTCAGTGGTGTTCATCAAATGTTTCATTCCCTCATATCCTTAGCTCTTCTACCATGCAAGGCAATGAGAGTAAGGCCATGATACTCAAACACAAGTAGAAAGGATTTGTTACTATCTGAATAAACCACTAAAATACCCATAAATGATTCTCCATATTGGTGCATTCATACATCAAAATGGAGAAATCAAATTACTTAATAATAATCAATATTACATAACCAATGTCGCTTCTGACTCTCTCAAGTTCTGAGTGATTCTGTGGACCTAAGCACCAACCATCCCACATGGAAACTTTGGCATGTGGTAGCACAAGCTATCGTCAGTGTTCTGAATTTCATATTTTGACTATTTTTCATGCCACAGCATGCATTAATCTATGCTGATATTTATAAGATAGAAATGCAAAGAGATGAATAGTAGCAAAATAGTGACAAGCAAGAAATGTGTATTGGAAAAATACAGGATTGAAGCTAACAATATGTGTGCATGAAATCAGAGTTGAAACTGACAGAGTTCCAGGAAGCCAGATAACAGTTTTCTGTATACTTCCTGCTTATAATTTTAATAAGTATTAATATATTGAATTGAGTTTTTAGAAAGTTATAGTATTATAGTATTATATAAGTGTAACCACACTAGCTAGTTTATGTCAACTTGACATTCTAGAGTCTTTGGCTAGGAGGGTACCTCAATTGAGAATATACCTCCATACTATCAGGCTGAGGGCAAGCCTGTATGACATTTCTTAATTAATGACTGATGTCAGAAGGTTCAGCTCATTGTGGATGGGGCTGTCTCAGGGTATGTGGTTCAAGCTTGTATAAGAAAGGAGGCTGAGAATGCCATGGGCAGCAAGCCAGGAGGCAGCACTCCACAATTACCTCTGCTTCAGCTCCTGCCTACAGGTTCTTGAAACGCTTTAGTTCCTGTCCTGATTTTCTTTGGTGATAAATCATGCTGTCAAAGAATAAACCATATAACACCCCGCCCCCGCCATGCTGCTTTGGTCATGGTGTTTCATCACAGTAATAGTTACCCTGAGTAGCACAATAACAATCAGCAAAAACTAGTTATGAAAGCTGTTAAAATTATTACTAATAAGTTAATAATCAAAACATGTTTCAATGAGATGAAAAGAAGATACATTTTATAAGAATTTGTATAACAAAATTTCCTTGACTTCCTGAAACTTTAATCTGCATATCACTGAAAGTTAATATCTAATATTACCTCTGCTAGAAGTCACTACAGTTAACCTTCTTCAAAATGTGTCATTTTTTCTTTTCAGAAATATCTGTGATGCTTCTAGCTCCTGCTGTCTCATAAAACCCTGGATGCATCACTATTTTTACTTGGTTTTTTAAACAACAATTCCAAAGAATACCAACTTTTTAAAGATTCTTTTCTTTCTGAGAAAAAAAATAATGCATCTAATACTGTGTTTCAATGAGCCCACTTGATTAAGAGATTTTTTTGTCACACCAACATTCCTGTAATCATAGAAGAATAATTGAAGTATTTTCTCAGTTTCATTGATTATAAAATTATCCACTAATCAATATAAAAGCGTGTCAAAGGTAAATATATCTCATTAGTACAATAAACGTTACAGATCACAGTAAACAATGGAATCAGTTGCTGCCTGAAACCAGTGTATTGCCTTAACGAATACACTAGTTGGTACATGTGATTGGAAAATGTCACAGAGTTAAGAGTCAAACAGCAGAGGCAGAGTTTGTTTTCTGACACTGAAAGTGCACAAACAAAGTTGAGACACAAATATTACCTCATCATTACTATGACCTTCTTAGCTTTTTATTAACTAGCTCTCTAAACAAGTTTTGCCTGACTTCAGGGAACAACTAATCCATGCACAACCTACTATTCTCAGGATGATGCTCTGCCTGGCAAAGCTACTATATACCTCAACGAAAAACAGGTTGATCTTCTGGCAAAAGACATCACTTGAAAAGACAATTCTATTCGTCAACCTGTGCCAATATCAAGCTTGTTTCGCTTGAAGTCAAGGATGGTGATGCCTCTGGAAGTTCCTTTATTGTGCAGGGCTGTTTTGGATATTCTGTTTTTTTTGTTATTCTATATGACGTTGAGTACTTTTCTTTCAAGGTCTGTGAAGAATTGTGTTGGGATTTTGGTGGGAATTGCACTGAATCTGTAGATTACTTTTGGCAAGATTGCCATTTTTACTATGTTGACCCTAACTATCCAAGAGTGTGGGAGATCTTTCCATTTTCTAGTATCTTCTTTAATTTCTTTCTTTAAGGACTCAAAGTTCTTACTATACAGGTCTTTCATATTTTTGGTTAGTGTTACCTCAAGATATTTTATGTTGCTAGTTGCTATTATAAAGGGTGATGTTTCTGTGACTCCTTTATCAATACATTTATTATCTGTATATAGTAGGGCTATTGATTTTTTTGAGTTAATCTTGTATCCTGCCACTTTGCTGAAGGTGTGTATCAGCTGTAGTAGTTCCATGGTAGATTTTTTTGGGGTCACTTATGTAAAGTATCATATCATCTGCAAAGAGTGAAAGTTTGACTTCTTCCTTTCCAATTTGTATCCCCTTGATCTCCTTTTGTTGTCTTATTGCTCTAGCAAGAACTTCAAGGACAATATTGAAGAGATGTGGAGAGAGTGGACAGCCTTGCCTTGTTCCTGATTTTAGAGGAATAGCCTTGAGTTTCTCTCCATTTAGTTTGATTTTGCCTGTTGGTTTGCTGTATATTGCTTTTATCATGTTTAGGTATGTTCCTGTTCCTGATCTCTCCAAGACCTTTATCATGAAGGGATGTTGGATTTTGACAAATGCTTTTTCAGCATTTAGCAAGATGATCATGTGGTTTTTCTTTTCCAGTTCATTTATATGGTGGATTGCATTGATGGATTTTTGTATATTGAACCATCCCTGCATTCCTGGGATAAAGCCAATTTGGCCATGTTGAATGATTCCTCTGAAGAGATTTTGGATTAGATTTGCCAGTTTTGTTGAATATTTTGCATTGATATTCATGAGGGATATTGGTCTGTAAATCTCTTTATTCATTTTGTCTTTGTGTGGCTTGGTTACCAAGGTAATTGTTACCTCATAGAAAGATCTTGGGAATGTCCCTTCTGCTGCTATTGTGTGGAATAATTTGAGGAATACTGGTTTTAGCTCTTCTTTGAATTTCTGGTAGAGTTCTGCACTGAACCAATCTGGCCCTGGGCTTTTTTAGGTTGTGAGACTTTTGATGACTGCTTCTATTTCATTAGGGATTACAGGTCTGTTTAAATCGGTTCTCTGTTTTGATTTAACTTTGGTAAGTGATATCTATCTAGAAAATTACCCATTTACTTTAGATTTTTGAATTTTCTGGAGTACAGGTTTTCAAAATATGACCTGATGATTCACCAGATTTCTTCAGTGTCCATTGTTATGTCCCCCATTTTATCTCAGTTCTAGTATCACCTGCCTACTGTCTCGCCTTCACAATCATTGTAATGAGAAAGCAGGCAACTTGCATGATAAATTTGTACACATCCTGTTAAATTATTGTTTGAACTGTACATCACCTGCCTACTGTCTTGCCTTCACAATCATTGTAATGAGAAAGCAGGCAGCTTGCATGATAAATTTGTACACATCCTGTTAAATTATTGTTTGAACTGTAGCACATCCCAGAAGTGTTTCAGTTAGTACAGTGACATTATGACTTTTTCTGTAACAGCACATTGTTACAGACTTACTGAATTAAGCAAAGAAAAAGAAATGTAAGATACCATCAAATTTCTCTTCCTTATCTAGCTGCCATGTTTCAATCATATACACCTCATCATTTCATTTAAGTTAACAGAATGCTTTAGACATATCTGCCCCTTAGCCTACCTATGCATAAGTCTTATTTTAAGGACTGAAGTTTAGGTAAAATTCATCTGCCTATCATGTATCAAGAATTAATAAATATTAAAACATTATGTAAAGAAATAGAATTTATTGCCTATGTTGATTCATAAATTTCCAGTTAAATTGAGAGATAGGTAGTTGAAAATAAAATATACAAAAATAAAGGACTGTTTATAAATATAAATATAATTTGGTAGTGAATGTAAGTAGCTGAATCTAGGCATGTTTGAAATACTTCCTGTAAACTCCAAAAATATAATAAAAATTTTTAATAACAAATAAAAATTAACTTAAAGTTGGGATAAGTTGATGATTGAAAATAGGATTGTTCTTGAAATTTTTTAAAAATGGGTGTTGAGGTAGATTGATTTCCAATTTCTGGAGGAATCACCATATTGATTTTCATGGATATTGTATAAGTTTGTACTCTCACAACATAGGATGAGTATTCCCCTTGCTCCACATCCTTGCAAGCATTAGCTGTCACTTGTGTTATTGCTCTTAGTCATTCTGACAGGTATGTGATAGAATCTCAAAGTAGTTTTGATTTGCATTTTCCTGATGGTTAAAGATGTTGAACATTTCTTTAAATTTTTCTCAGCCCTTTGAGATTCCTCTATTCAGAATTTGTTTAGATCTGTATCCTATTTTTAAAATGAATCATTTGGTTTGTTGCTATCTAGTGATGTGAGTTCTTTCTATGTTTTGGATATTAGCCCTCTATCATGTGTGGAGTTGGTGAAAATCTTTTCCCATTCTGTAGGATGTGGGTTTCTCCTATTGACAATGTCCTTTGCCTTATATAAGGTTACGAGTATCATCAGGTCAAATTTATTAATTGTTTAACTCAGTGCCTGCATTACTGGTGTTCTGTTGAGTAATTTGTCTTCTGTGCCAAGTGTTTCACTTCTACCAAGTACAATGTGTCTGCTTTTATGTGGAGGTCTTTAGTTCATTTGGAGTTGAATTTTGTTCAGTGTAATAAATATGGATCTATTTTAATTCTTCTGCATGCTAACATCCAGTTAAAGCATTTGCTGAATATGCTGTCTTTTTTGTTTTTGAGTGTATATTTCTGGTTTCTTTATTAAAAATCAGGTATACTTTGGTGTGTGAAATTGTGTTTATAATTGACATGACATAAATCCCAACTAAATTAGTTATCCTCTCAATTAATTGTCCTACTTTGAAACCAGTCAGCATATTATCCTACAGAGAACTAACTTCCTCTATTGTAATAACATTTCCCATTTTTAATGTTAGAAAAACTCTCTCTTTTAACTAATTCCTCCCTTTAATGTTTCCCAATTGTCTCACCAAATCTGCCAACAATGAAGGTGAAATGTGAGGCATAGCATGTCTGGGTAGAGAACACAATCAGTGAAGAGCCTGGCTGAGGATAGCTGAAGCTGCTGGCATGTAGCAATGAGCTGAGAGTGTCAGCCTGAGGAGGGGGTTGTTAGGGGAAGCTCACAGCCCAAGGGGAGAGGGAGCCAGCTGTCTGAAAACACACAGGATTGAGTGGAAAAAGCACATGTGGTAGGAGCTGCCTGAAGGCAGAACCAGTTAGTATAGGACATGTAAGTCAAACTGTGGCATTTGTTGCCCAGGGGCCTCAGGATTTTGAGGCCTGTGAAGTTTGTTGCAGAGATGTTGCAAGAAAACAATCCCAAACACATTTAGAGGCTTAGGGAAAAGAGAGAGAAGAACCTAGCCTGTCGGTTAGTGAGTTTGGCCAGATTCCCACATGAAGCTCTGGATTATGCCGATGGGTGCAAAGTCACAAGCAAGCAGGTTTTTCATAAAGGTGTGCCTTAAAGTTGGGCACCAATTGGAACATGAGTTCTAATTGGTCTTAATAATAAAAACCAAAGTCAGAAATAGGGGTAAATGCTGAAAGCTCAGAGAGACAAAAGAGCAAGCCACAGACGTATCTTACCTCACCAACTTTTCAGTCAAAAAGAATGTGACTGTAGCTTCTCCTGTCTTATAGTCCCCTCTCTGCCCAGTCATATCACTTGCTGTCTATCTGCAGACTTCCAACCACTATGGAACTAGTGGCTAGCTCCACCTTCTGATCTTCAGGCAAGCTTAGAGTACAAACAAGATATCGCCTCACTGCTCAGGTTCGTTCATGGCAGCTTCATTTATAATGGTCAGAATCTGGAAACAACCTAGATGAATTGATAAAGAAAATGCAGCACATTTACACAATAGAATATTACTCATCAGTTAAAAAACAGCATCATGAAATTTTCAGGCAAATGGATACAAGTAGAAAATAATTATTCTCAATGACCTAACTTAGACCCAGAAAGACAAATTTGATTGGCGCCTTGTTGAATCATCACAGAGACTTCCTTAGCTGTGGATATAAGCAGGTTCAAAAACAGCAAGACAATGCTGAGTAAGAATCTAAACTGGAAGTCTCCATTGGGTGCCTCCAAAGGCCAAAGTAACTGCCAGAAGAGCTTCCAACTTGGACAGAGACTCATTACTAGTTCAGAGGTCAAGCAGCCCACCAGAAATCCAGAACACAAAGACTGCAAGACCAAAGAGGATATAGAAACCACAGAACAATACCAACAAAATGAGAAATAAGGAAATAGACCTAAGTCATCCCAAACCCAGATTCCTAAATACAATAATATGATTAACAACAGCCAGGGCAGTATGGCACCACCAGAGCCCAACCATCCTACAACAGGAATACCTGAATATTCCCGTGCTACTGAAGCACATGCATGAACACACACACACACACACACACACACACACACACACACACACACACACACCCACACCACCCCCAACAACAACAATGTGAAAACCAAATTTATGAAAATTATAGATGTCCTTAAAGAGGAAATGAAAAAAATTCTTTAAAGAAATAGAAGTAAACAACAAGAAAATAATGGAGTACATCAATAAATCCCTTAAAGAATGCCAAGAAAGACAAGAAAAGCAAACAAGTCTACGAAACAATTCAATACCTGAAAAACAAAATAGAAGCAATGAAGAAAACACAAACTGGGGGAATTCTGGAAATGGAGACTCTAGGTAGGAAAACAGGAACTATAGACACAAACATCACTAACAGAATACAAGAGATGGAACAAAACATCTCAGGCATTAAAGATATGATAGAATAAATAAATTCATTGGTCAAAGGAAATGTTCAATTTAAACATTTCCTAAAATGATATATTATAGATTTGAAGAGAAATCTGTCACCAGGGAAATGTCCAGAGATCTATAAAGATGACCCCAACTAAGAATCTAAGCATTAGTGGAGAGGCTACCTTAAATGTCCTTCCCCTACAATGACATTGATGACTACTTTAAATGCCATCATAGAGCCTTCACCCAGTAGCAGATGGAAGCAGAAGCAGAGATTCACAGCTAAGCACTGAGCTGAGCCCATGGAATCCAGTTGTAGAGAAAGAGGAGTGATGAACAAAGGGAAGAATATTTTGTTACAGACTATATCAATATATAATGAAAGAATTGCCTTTGAGTTTTTAACATCTTAAGAGCTTCCCCCAATACACTTGAGACAAATGAAATATGTATGTGTGTGTGTGTGTGTGTGTGTGTGTGTGTGTGTGTGAATTAGACATTTTTAAACTATGATGCAGCTGTACAAAGAGAAACAAACTTTAAATAGGCATTTCTGTTGGTTCCTTAATAACACTTAGTTTTCAGATTAAGTCATATAACTGTGGAATATGCAGACAACAAGGACATGGATATTATGATACATTTTTATTTAGCACGCTCATCAGTAATCTGCAAAGTTCGTGGAAGGAAAGCAGTAGAAGATTGGAGGTAGGAGGATACAGAAAAACAGGAAACAGAATTATTTCCACTTATTTTCCATAGGAAACAAAAAACATCCATTGAATCTGCAATGGCTATGTTTTTTGCCAGGTTGTATTTGTAATGAAATTCTTAATAAACTTTCCAGCACTACTATGGATAAAGGAGATTCAAAGGAACAGGTGAAGAGACTAAATAAAATGACAATGTAGATTAGTACAGTTTGGAATTGTTCTAAAATATAATTCCCTCATGACAGAAGCAATGCTTTGCCTGTGGCCAGAAAATAGAATTATTGAACAGTGTCATGAGTTGCCAGCTAAGGCTTAAAAATGTCTGCTTGTGACATCTCAGCTCTAAAACAATGATGCTTGGAGTAGATAATATCCATGTGAGTGGAGAGTGAATACTGTCACAGACTGAAGAACCAGGCTGCCAATTACTTGTTGATCTCATGACGTCCTCAACTCATAGCCTGTGCTCTGAGACACCACAAAGTTAACCATTGTACCAAGCAGGGAAGAAATATCAGTAAATTTCAAAGCTAATTAAAAGCTCTAGGAGCAGTTATGTGATTATCTGCACATGATCTCACAGGAAAGAACACCTGGAGTTGTTTTGTGCTTCTTCTGGGATTTAGCATGATCCATATTCCTTCCTTACAGAGTCATTTTAGGTTCATTTGGGAATTTTTGAACACCAGATGTAAAAACGATGGAATTTTTTGTTTGGTTTGGTTATGTTATTTTTTTGGCATGTCAGACTGGTGTCAGACATGTACCATCATGCCTGGTAGTTCATAAATATTTTTGCTTATTCTCCACAAGCTTAAATTTTAAAATAAGAATTTTTTAACTTTAAGAATCCTTTCCTACTATTGAAAAACCTCATGGTTTATTCAGCTTCAGTATTGTAAAAGAACTGTGGCTATGCTGTAGGAAATGCATTATAAATCTCGAAACCTCCAAACTTGAATTAACTACAAAAATACTTTTTCTGATATGCATGAAGTTATTGGAGAAATAACATACAAGTATTTATTATTGCTCATTTTATTTTTTTGTTTATTTTGTTTTTTGAGACAGGATTTCTCTGTGTTGCCCTGGATTTCCTGGAATACAGAGATCTGCTTGCCTCTTTGTTTCTGCTTGTCAAGTGCTTGGATTAAAGGCATGCACAACCACTGCCCAGTTTATAAGTGTTCTTAAGTTTTATGTATTATCATTATTGAGAAATATTATTAATTGTGTATATAAAATTTTATTAAACAAGAATTCAAAATATTATTAATATGTTCGCATGGATGTTTTTCTTATTTATCTAATTTCATTGAAAAACCCCACAGACCAATGTTGATGATGTTTTAGAGACACATTATAGATCATTATTTACTCTAATGCATATGAATAATTCCCCAGTTTGAGGCAATTTCAGAGTATTGATAGTAGGTCAGAAGCTAATTACCTTGTTTGGGGCTAGCTTTAGCCTCTGGAATAGTCATTCCTTGCCCACTTCTGGGTCAGAAATGACATCTTATGAATAGTAGATAAAAACCTTTGGAATCAATTGACGTAGAAGAACCATTAGTATTCACCAACCAAATATCCAAGATTGTCGACAAGGCATCTTAAGCTGAGAGAAGCCTCCACCATGTCACTGTCACCACTCTTCTGATGTACCCACCATTGTTTTTTTTTTTAATTTGTCTTGATATATGATGTTCTTTGTTCTGTAAAACTATAAAAACTTCATGATTGGCTTCCCCATTGGAACATGATATTTAGGGTAACTTACATCTCTTCCCAAGCCATGATTACTTGAAATTGTTCCAGAATAATCTATCTCTTAGTCCCTTTAAGATGAAAGCTATATTTCTTGCATTGACATACCTTAGATTAATATCGTAAATATGAGGAAAGTCATGTTTTTAAATGCATATACATTTCACTATTAAATGCTTAAAATTTAAAAAGATCAATATTTTTTAATCCAACCACTGGCTCAGATATTTTTGTTATGGTGCATTAGTATTTTATAAAAATTTATGAATGACTAGGAGCAATCTGAGGTAAAATCTCAGACTTTTATATCATACCCAGTAACAAAATTTAGACCAATTCTTCTTTAATGAGTATATTATTCTAAATGAGTAAAAAATGTATCAAATTTCAAGGGCAACTGAAATTTGCCTACATATCAAAATGGAAATTGAGCCAGTTGCAATTGAGCTTTTTAATGTAAATATAAATATACAGTTTTAAAATTATTCTCTTATATGCTGATCATAGATTCTCCTCCCTCTCTTCTTCCTAATCTCTCCCTCAACCTCTCCTTCCCCTCAGATACACCCCCTTATGCCTCCCCTCATAAAAGAACTGACTTCCCTGGAACATCAACCAAACATAGCATAGTTTGCTACTATAAGACCAGGCACATGTTATGACATCAAAGCTGGACAAGGCAACCCAGGAGGAAGAAAACGCTCTCATAAGTATACAAAAGAGTCAGTGACCACCCCAGATCCCACTGTCAGGAATCCCATAGGAACACCAAGCTACTGAGCCATAACATATATGCATAGAACCTAGGTCATACCCCTGGATGCTAATTGATCTCTGTGTGAGGCCCATTAGTGGCAGTCATTTGGTTTTGTGGTCCTGTATTCTCATAGTGACCTTGACTCCTCTGCTTCCTCCAATCCTCTTTCCCTCTCTTCCTCAGTACTCCTCAAGCTCCACTGAGTATTTGGCTGTGGGACTATGCACCTGTTCCCATCAGTTGCTGGATGAAATCTCTCTAGTCTCTTTGATGAGGATTCCAATCCCAGAACAATTTGCAAGAAGGAAAAGCTGTAGGGAGAATGTTATGTGGGTGTGTTGTTGTCCCAATCCCTCTACTTGAGGTCTTGTGTGGTTAGAGAAGATTGCAATTCATGCTCTGTGTCCTCCATTACTAGAAGTCTATGCTAGGGTTAATCTCTTAGATACTGTGGATTTCCATTGCACTAGAGTTCTGCCTGGCCCCAAGAAAGCCCCCAATTACAGTCATTTCTCCAAATATTTGTCCCTCAACACACTTGATTCCTCCTGTTTCCAACCCTACCTGTCCCACTCAACCTACAAAACCATTCTATTTCCCCCTTTCTAGGGAGATTGCTGCACCAGCCTTAAGCTCCCCTTGTTACCTGGTTTGTCTGGGCCTGTGAACATGATTGGAATGATTGGTTTTTATTATATTTTATTTACTATTTTTTGTATTGTTGAGACAGGGTTTCTCTGTGACTTTGGAGACTGTCCTGGAACTAGTTCTTATAGACCACTCTGGTCTCAAACTCACAGAGATCCACCTG